ATGGTGAAAAACAGAAGGTGCATCTACTTACGTCATCAATGTCTTCATCATCATCTCCAATGTCATCAAACTGGATTTCATCGTCATCTCCAGGTCCAAATGTATCAGTTTCATTGATTTTAGCTAAAGAAACAACAAATATACTCATATGACCAAGATGTTTTTAAAATGAATAAATAATTGCCCACTAAAAGAAGTGACCTGATATCAAATATTGAAGTATAAAAGGAGACTCTTACAAGTCAAACTTTTAATTAAATCTAAGTTTTATTATCAGAAAGATCTTCTTGACTTCTACCTAACAATCCTACTATACAGAACAGTATTTTATACAACAAATCTCAGACAAAGTCACAACTAAGTCAAGATGGAAAGGACCTGTGTTATAATTTTCTTTTGCTTACAAAGGTATTTTAGTATGGCACAAATTCCGAAGCTATTACAACTTGTAGTTATGCTTTAAAAAAGGTGTGCGTATGTGCTAACAACTCACCAATCATCAGACAGACAGACACATCAATCAAAGATCTGGTCAAATCATGCTATCCCTAAGCAATGAAAATGAACCAGGAGGTGCTAGTCCTATTCCCAGGTATATGCGATACATGGCCTAGACTGAAAATGCCAAGTAATTAATTTTGGCAGGATTTTTGTGCTTACGTAAAATTATATTGTTTTTATGATATGCATGGGCCAAAAAAATTAAAAAATAACTGCCAGATGAAAAATGTAGACTTACAGAATAATATGAAAGTATATTTCCCCTGTGATGGGGTTATGAGAGACTTTTGTTTTTTGAGTTTTCTGCATTAAGAATGCATAACTTTCGTATTGCGGGAGGAATAAAGAATGTTGGCTTAAAAAAATCCTATGGGATACTATGATACTAGAATAACATGAACTGAAGACTGACTTTTTAATAAAAATCAACAATATTACCTAATTACTATCCTTGCTTCACATTTAAAGTAGATGAACACTGAGTCTCTTGAGAAAGGAATTTTAAAAGAAATACTGTAACAAAAATTTTCCTATGACTGGTATTATGCAGAAGTCCAGGGCTTATCAAGTTCAACTCCTCACCAGAAGTATATTTATTAGAATCCCAGATGCTTTTTTCTTAAGGTATCTAGTATTATGAAGTATAGGCAGTCAGACTTAAAATGAATCATGTAAGCACCAAAGTATTCAAAATCCACAAAATTCTACCAAAATTCCTTCACCTAAATACTACCAGGTAATAGCAGTATGACAGGTTAATATAATAACTTAGACATTACCATGCTCTGGAAGCTCGCCATATGCCTTCAGACTTCTTGCTTCATCCGCATTGTACTTTAAGATTACATCAGCTTTATTATCCTTAAAAAGAGACAAATAACTTTTAGACTGATTATGCCAAAATATTGTTATTTCACAAATTACTTTCAAACTGGATAAAAAAATTAGACCTCACTGTTCTATTACAAACTCTTCTTTTTTAAAATGTTTAGTTTTCTCCTAACCTCTGAAAAATATCCTTGGGTTTAACACAGTTGAAGAAGCTTGCATGCACAAAGGAATAATGATCGACAAGCTTAGGAAAGATACTTACAGACCTCAATTTAATAAGAGCAGAATTGCGCATACCCAATCTTTTGGATTATTTATTGTTACCCTTTATGTCTTTTGAAACACAAAAATTCCCTGGGACTATAATTTACAGTGTAAATTAAACACTCTAATTCAGAAATTGAGACTGGTGTAGTGAACTAAGGAAATTTTAATATATCTTCCCATTTACCAGTGATTCTTAGGGTAGAACAGATCAGAATATCCTGTGGAGCTCTTACACTCCCTGAAGATAGATAAGTAGATGTGAAGCCATAAATTTGTATTTTTAAAAGCTCTTTGGGTGTTTTTAATGCAATGTTCCACTGAAAACTATTGCCTTAGGACGTTCACACTTACCCATTTGAAAAGAATATGACTCAGGGAAGAAAAAAAGGATTGAAGTTGATCGTTTCATACGCAACGAAAATCATCACAGTGAGTGCTGAAAGGGCAGGTGATTCAGACCAGCACTTCTTAGACTGTAATGTGTATAGAAGCCCAGGAAATCTTCTTAATATGCATATTCTGATTTAGGAGGCCTGGGTGGGGTCCAAGAATCTGCATTTCTAACAAGTTCCCAAAAGCTAGTGATGTTACTGGTCCCTGAATCACCCTTTAAGTGAGTGGCAGGGGCACAGAAGATCAGAAAAGTTGGTCCTGGCTGTCATTTTACAGATAGAATATTACACCTTTCAGAACCTTGGTTTCCTTATCTGTCAAACAGGAAACTAATTATTCTTCCTACTTCTAGAGTTATTTTTTAAATGAAGAAAACGGACATGAAAATGGTATGAATATAAAGCAGGCTTTCTCAACCTCATCACTACTGTTATTTTGGACCAGATTAATTCTTTGTTGTAGGGACTGTCCTGTGCATTGTAGGATGTTTAGCCCCTCACCTCAAGCCATTAGAAGCCAGCAGCACCGCCCCCCTCCCTCAGTTGTAACAACCAGAAATGTCTCCAGACACTGCCGAATGTCCCCTGGAGGAAAAAAATCACCCATGGTTGAGTACCATTGATTTAAAGATCTTAATTTTTTATTCTGGAATATATATTTTTAAGAAATTAAAGTACAATCAAGATTATAAAAACAAACATTTTATCACTCACAATGTGACTGAACACACGGTGATGAGTTCCAACATGTAGAAACCAAATGGATTTCAAAGATCCATAATGAGTACAGTCTCCAGGTTAAGATCACAAGGGGCAACTACCATTTTCTTGCCTAAGCACTCATCTAAATATAGAGCATAAACTTCTATCGTGATTTGTATTGTAATTACTTTTGTGCCTGTCATTCTTCCCATTATTAGGCCCTAAGCATTTTGTGGAATAGAAGCTTGACTCATTCCACTGTCTACTCTTGAGAAAGTTTCCAGATTTTGATTTTAAGACATATAAATTAAAAAAAAATATTGAGGTGGGAAGTTCAACATAAGATTATATTTTTATTTTGCCAACTAAGAACACTAACAAAACATGACTATATATCACTCATTCCAAAAAAGGAACCTTTTAAATATCAAAAAGGCAAAAGGACCATTTAGCTTCACAAAAAATTCACATGGCCTGTATTTCTTCTACAATGGAAATGTGAAACTCTACAGACTGGCATTTGGAAACCATAACCCCTGGGGTACCTAGCACAATGCCCACAACATAACTAGCCCTTAAGACATGTTGGTGACACAAGGGGCTGGAACTGGTCAAATATGATTATGACTTATGTTGTAAACATTAATGGCTCATCAAAATCAAGCAAGTGAACAATGAAAATTTTAATTGTTTTTACCTGGTAGTCTCGTAGACCAACCAATATAATGTCTGAGGTATTTATCCAAACCTGTAAAAGAAATAAAAAATAAAGAATCAAGAGCATCGTTGCGTCAGCATTCCCATAAAATACTATTCATCCAATTGTGGTTGAAGTACCTTTATTTAGAATCAGAGAAAAAAACTGTAGCAAGCAGCTGTGCCTATTTCAAATTTTCAGTAATTTGGAATGTTAAAAATAATCTTATTGAATTACTTGACAGTTTAATAATCCCAGAGGAATGATGATTAGTTTTGAAATTAAGAAATTTTTAATAGTGAATCACTCCATGTATTTAATTATCTATACATTACATGGAATAGAAAATTAGAAATGTGGCTTTATCGCCCTCCCTCCGCTCCTTCCACCTACCCACCCACATACAAACACAGCTGGCAAAACCCCTTTCGTTTGGTAACAGAAGGAGCAAACCAAAATTAAAAAAAAAAAATCATAAAATCAGAGTTAGAGGAACTTTTAACCAATCTAATTAATAAATCTGCCTGAACATCTACTGTGATTGGAAATTTGTCATTACTTCTCAAGGGAGCCCTTTCATGATCAAAATTCAGGAAATTTAACATTAATATAATAATAGCAATCTCAGCCTTTTTTTCCTTTCCCAACACCAATAATGTATTAAGAACCAGGCCACTTGTTTTGCAGACCGTGCCTCAATTTGAATGTTGATTGTTTCCTCACGATCAGATTCAAGTTAAATATTTTTAGCAGTAATACAACATGAATGATGCAAATGAGCCTTTAACTAGAATCTGTAAATCACTGCTCTACTGAAATGAAGTCTTTTGAGAACTTACAAAAATGAGGTCCTTGGCCCACAAAAACTGTAGAGCCATTTTCCCCTCTTACTCACAATTTTATATTAAATTAAAACAAACCTTTATACCTACCTTTTTTCTCAATTTCCCTCTGATGTGACACAATCTCTTTACACCATCAAAACACATGGCTTCTAATCGTCCGTTTCCCAACATTTTGATTACCTGAGCATACTCTGAAGGAGGGAAAAAGAGTATATAAGATATGTTGTTCGACTTCAGATAAAAGCAACTTAAAAGCTCACATAAAACTGACATAGATATACTGTTTGAGAATAGAGTAAAATAAATAAAAGGAAGTGATAAACGCCAACCAGTTAACAACAGAGCCAGAACCAAACTCTGTAATGCCACTTACATGACAAGCTTTTGCTGCCATCAGAAATGTTTTAATTATGTACTCGTTTTGAGAAGCAAACTGACTACTGTCTTCATGACCATGCTTCACCTTTGGAGATCAAGGTGGCTTGTCCCAAAATGTACATTACACTTTCCCAAACTTTCACATTTGAATCCTTGCCCAAATTTGGGTCTCCTCTCCTTCAGAACGTTTAGAGGCTAATCTCAACACAATATTTGGTACATTTGGCAAATAAAAGTAACTTAAGCATTAATAATGTCTTTGTTAAATTAGACGATCTTAGTGATTATTCTCAAGTTTTTGTAAAGCTAGAAAGATGCTCTCAGGCAAAATGACAACCTTTGTACCCAGGAAGCCACCTGGTTTCACTGCCATCTGAAAAACTGAGATTATGAGCATTAGCTTGCACATGGGCCTGTCTCTTCTGTTATTAAATGACGGAAGACATGGGGGAGAGGAGGCACATCACTTCAGAACCATTAGCTTACTCAAGCTGTACATCAGACTAACCTCCGAAGAGGACAGCCACTAATTGGTAAATACATTAAGATATAACTGAAAGGCTCGAATGCGGGGTTGACACACAGAAGTGAGTTACTCAGACTACAGTGAACCTAGAGCCTCAACATGCTTGGTCAATTCAAAGGTACCCTCTCTTCCAAAGTGGGGGAAAAATGTGGAAAAGAATAAGTAGTGGCAGTCAAAATCAGGTCGACTGCTAATGGAGGCTAGAATGACTAAGGCAAAGAAATAAAAAAGTCTGCTAGCCAGAAAATGTTTAATTTTTAGTGGCTTATTTGTACAGCATGAACAAATCCACCAAAGTTTTATAAAAAGACAATCAAAAAAAAAAGTTCTTTGCTAAAAAGTGCTGGAAATTGGGATGACTGGACAATTCTGAATATGAACTATTATATATTATAAAAATATATAATATATTCATGTTAAATTACCTGACTGTTCTGTTGTAGTTCTGTAAAAAATATACCTATTCTTAGGAGACTATGATGAAGTAGTAAAGGAAAAGTCGTGATGTCTGCAACTAACTTTCAAATGGTTCAGGAAAAATACACACACACGTGTGCCCAGATGACGGGTTTAAAGGAGTTCACTGTACTCAATACTGCAACTTTTCTCAAGGTTTGAAATTACTCAAAATATAAATATGGGAAACCAGTTGTTATATATCTTGGCCTGGCACTTACAAAATCTTAATTGGTCTGAAAATGTTAGTCGATTGTTCAGTTTCAGTTATTCTATTTTATGAAATTGTATGCTAATGGCACTAGAGAAGTTAGGGAAAGGCTTCAGATTCATCCCTCAAGTATGAGTCTACTGAACATACTACGTAACACCATTTACTATCAAAATAGGTCTACTAAATCATGGAATTGTCAAACCAGCACTTCTGAGGCTTAATTCTCTCTGAACTGTACAATTCGTTCTTATGAGTGTTCACGAAAAATAATGAAACCTACGTGTTTACAGAAATGCCACCAATCTTCGACACAGACTGAGTATACCAAGAAATGATTACCCAAAGAAGTATGGGGAATTAGAAATGAAGAGCAAAAAAGGACAGGCGATTTATTACTCAGGATTATAAATATTCTCTCTTTTATGTTTAGAAATTGAAATTCCATATTTAAAAAAGAAAACTATTACTAAAAGAAACTTAACTTATGAGAAAGCTTACCTTGTCCATCTTCTTTGAACACCAGCTCCCTTTTTTCGGATTCATTTTCATTCTTACCTCTACGTCTGTTTTTACCTCCTTTACCTAATGGTTTTAAAGAAAGAGAAAGACGTTAATTGTCTGCAAAACAATAAAAAGAAACTGAAGCTTTCAAAACGTTTTTAAAAAAAATCGCTTAATGTAAAAATTCACCTAATTTGGTCACATAATAAAATTAAATTTACAATCTCCAATCATATTAACCATTTAAGCATTGACACTCCCCTACCCCTCTTGGAAATTCCTTTTGGAATATTTCTGACATAAAATACAAACCAACCAACCAAAAGTAGAAATTATAAAAAAATATATAGATCTCTTTCTAAGGACATCTGTATTCAGTGACCAAACTGCCAGGGATCGTAAAGATAATGACCACTTGGTTGACTACAGTGCTCAGTGAATCCCTCCTACGTGGCTCACATGGGCCGAGGTAGGAGATATGTAATGGGTCTTGATAAATTTTATAAAAAGGCCTTGTCTCTCTTGTGTCTGACCCCTCTCCCCCCAACCACCATGAAAGGTCTGAGTACAAGACGGAAATGACTGAAAGAAAAGAAAAAAGGAAAAGTTATAACTACTGGAGCAGGACACACTGATTTTGTGGTGGTGGAAGGAGAGCAACAACTGGCAATTCTGACGGTGTGAATTTTATCCCATTAGCTGTAGGACACACTGAGCAAGATACTTGAAGTTAAAAAGCAAAGTGCTAACTGCCTGAACTCGGAAGCAACTAACATGTTCTCTACTAGGTGCCTGGATGAACTGTCGTATGGCTATACAATGAGATATCATTCAGCAATAAAGGAAATGAGCTATCAAGCCCCCTAAAGACATGGAGGAACCTTAAATGTACCCTTAAGTGAAAAGAAGCCATCTGTAAAAGCTGAATTATGATTCCAACCATGTAACATTTTGGAAAAAGCCAACTCTGGAGACAGTAAAAAGATCAGTAGTTGCAAGGAGTCATGGAAGAGATGGGGAGGACAGATAAAGAGGTAGAGCACAGGGGACTTTTAAGGGCAGTGACAATCTTTTGTATGATACTGTAATGGTGGATACATGCCACTAGACATTTGTCAAAATCCATACAATGTACAACATAAAGAATGAACTTTAATATAAACTATGGACTGGAGTTAATAATAATTAATCTATACTGGCTCGTGCACGATGTTAAGAGGAAACTGGTGGAGGGCTGTACATGGGAACTTCGTACTTTCTGCTTATTTATCTATAAATATATAGCTGCTCTGAAAAATAAAGTCTATTAAAAAAAAACAATAAAAGGCAAGGTGAAATAGGGACACAACCTGCAAAATCCAGACTGTGGGGGCAATTCTACAAGACAATGTTTTCTTCAACAGAATCATCATGAAGAGGAAAAAAACATGGATGGATGGGGAACCTGCAGATTCAAGAGAGACTTAACAGACGTATCAATCAATGGCAAAGTGTAGACCATATCTGGATCTCGATTTGGTGTGAAAACTTCAAGTTTAGCTATGAAGTAATATGCCTGGAGCCAGGAGAGAAGTACATGGAGGTTTACTGTACTAGTCTACTTCTGTATATATTTGAAGTTCTTCCTATTTAAAAGATAAACACAGCAAGGTGAAGAAGAGCATAAAGCAACCATTGGTGTAAAAAAAAAAATTCATATTCATATTTGCTTATATATACATAAAATATTTCTGAAAGAGCATGTAACAAAAAGTTAACACTGACTGCCTGTGAGAGAGAGAACTGGATGGCTATGGGACACATTTAGGAAAGAGATTTTGCTTTTTATACTTTTTGAAATTTGAATCATGAATATACTTACCATTCAAAATTTTTAAATACAAACTACTTCAACCAAAAGCAGAGGTGTGACATGATCCTCTGGGTGGGAAAACTGGTTAAGAAGGTCACTGTCCTTATTACCCACAGAATGAAGCAGGCCAAACTTAGCCATGAAGAGGAAAGGAACTTGGAAGCCACCAAGATGTCTTTCAGTAGGTGAGCGGGTAAACTGTGCTACATCCATACAGTGGAATACTATTCAGAGAAATATTTTTCTATATATATTAAGAGATGGAAACAAGAGAACTGTGACCAGATGTGGAGGGAGGAGTAAAGGATACATGGGGCTTTCACAAAAACTTCTTAGAATGTTTCAGCCTCTTTAAAATGAGGGAATTAGAACAATTCAGGATTTTTGAACTCTTGTATCTATTGGTGTCCTTAAACATCTATCGTTCTCCCTCTCCCCTTGTTCTTCGCATTTTAATGACACTGCTGACCATTTCTCAACTCTCCTTTTTCTGACTTTTAGAGGCCACTTGCACTATTCTTGACCTTTCATCAGCCCCACTTCATTCTGTCTATCCCTTTGAAGCTTCATTAAGTTGAAATTCCCACGTTCTAAGGAAATTTATTTTTTTCTCACCTATCACTTCTATGCTAGTAATTTTACACCTCAGTCCACTATTTCAACTAAGCCTTGGTCTCATATTTCTAATGGCTCAGTACATTTCAGTGAATGGGCTGTCATCTCGAGCTCAGTTTTATTCAAAACTCAATTTACTTTCCTTTCACAAAGCTAATCCTTAGTCAACATCCTTGTTTCTGTTACTCGTACAAAACTACCTTAAAGAATGTGCCTCTCAACCTATAAACATGCCACCAATCTACCTCTCAATACTTCCATTACCTTATGCTGCTATCCAAGTAGACTTCTCGCTGCCCCAGTAACTCACCCCTAACACATCTATGCCTATGAAATTTCGTCTTTATTTCTCAAGAGATAATAATCTTCAAAAAGTTAAGTGACTTATTCGAAGCTCCATCGCATGAAGTGAGATCTAGGATGTGAGACCCCAGTGACTATGTCCTTAACCACTATGCAATGCCATCCATTTACTTGTCATGATCACCCTGAGGCGATTAATAGTCATTTATCCCGTTTACCAGTGCGTCCATTCAAGCTCAGAGAGGTGACTCACTTAACATTAGTCAGTGAGTGGGAGTGACCAGATTCAAACATCATCTTTTTTGTTCCGGGCCCCCACATTAGGATATTTCTCCACGGCATTTCGTTCCCCTCCCAGAACCTCAACCACATTTGGAGCCATTTCTAAAAGGTAGGAGAAAGGTGATAAGTGGTAGTAATACTAAGGGACTCATGGGAAGAGCCTGGAAGAAGCAAAAGGTTCACAGCCGCAACAGAATAAAGAATGTGCACTTGATCACTATGAAGACACTTAACTTGCATAGAGCGGACATACCCTGTCCTGGGGGCAGTCTCACATGTTCTGTATTCTGGTTAGGTGGGCCTCTAAAATTTCCTGACCCACCCAGAGTCCTTAAGAGTTCAGTATTTGAGGTATTCTTAGGGCACACCAAATAAATCCCCAAGTAAAAGTTATCTCCTGCTTCAAGCCATTAGTCAGGCCAGATCTTCAAACTAGAAAGAAAGCTCCATTAGGGCAACCTGCTTTGTTTACTGAGTTATATATCCAAGTTGGCAATTCTGAATGAATCAGTCAAGAGTAGTCCATCTATTCCTCAAGGAATGGTAATTTAAAAATCAAAGGTAGTAACTTCCTCAAAGTGTACGAATACCTTACCCCAAATACTCTTCTGAGTGGGCCAAAGGAAGCTCTTTTTCCTGAGGTAACATGCTGACAGAATCTAGAGGAAATAAGCAAAAGTCTTTCGACACACAGTTTATGGCAATTTATATCCTTTCTTGTATAACCACCACCAAGATTATATTCGCAGGGCTTCTGGCTTTTCCAATGAAGAAAAACATAAATATTAACATAAATTTATTTCTACATTAAACCTCATGTCATAAAATTCAAGTGTACTGAAAAGCACTGTTCCTTTAAGTAAAATTACTACTAAGAGAAGATTGGTTTTACATGTATAGGAATGATAAACACTAAATTCAGAATGGTGGTGAGAGGGGAAAGGGATTGGGGAGGGGGAAGCAGAGGGCTTTAACTGAATGTGTTGTAATTCTCAAGTTCAGAGTAATGGATTCCCAGATGTCCATTGTATTATCTATAATTTTTGCACGCCTCAAATGTTATTTATAAAAGAATGATTCATCGCTTGTCAATTTACCAAAATTAACCATACCCTGATCGCCCCCTTATTTTATTGCTATGCAATGGAATGAACTTTAAAGGAGGCTAGTGAATTAGATGTGACTTAATGTCGAAGTCCTGTCCACTTGGAACCAAAGGGGAACCTATTATTCACCTAAGGGTGGAGTCAACAGAAGGGAGATGAATTAACGCAACAAATATTTATTGAGCATCTACTAAGTGTCGAGTGCTAGCAATCCATTTGTGATTAAGACAGATCCTAGTACTGCCCTTTAGAGCTTACAGGCTAGTGAGGGAATTGGAAATCTCATCACTAGAAATAAATAAAAGTGAGAATAAGATACCTATTGAAGCAATCGGTTACCATCTGAGCGAATAAAAGATGATATAGAGTACAAGAAAGCTATGACTCTTAAAACCCTATTTTACTACCCTGTCTCCTTTCCAGAATTAGCATTAATATCCTTGCTACGAAAAGGACCTATGAGTTAGATTTCTAAGGGCAATAAAGTGGAGTGCCCTGAGAGAGCTGCACCAAATCTTGCACAGAACCGCAACCAAATATCCCCAGAGATAAAATGAGTAGTGACAGTTACAGAGGAAATGAGGTAGAATCCCTGGAGCCAGCTGGGAAGTAGAAAAGAGAACAGAAGTAGGCCGGGGTCAGGCAGGGGGTCTCAGGATGAATAATCAAAGGAAACTTCTTGTGGGTTGTGAAATATTCTCCTCTCCTGTCAGAAATAGTGTTTTTCCCCACTTCCTACAGACACGATCTCCTTTGAAATTATAAGAATACTTAAAAAGCAGAAACATCCTTAAGTCTAAAAAAAGGAGAATTTCTTTGGGACTGGTCTGCTTTTACCTACATTAGGCCTTCCATTTAAAAAATACCGAATAAACTTATGCTCGAGTCTGATAATTTGTGAAAGTTTAGCTTCTGAACGAAGGTGACTTAAAAGATCTTTACTCCCACCCCGATATGTATTATACGTGATGCGAAGGAAAAGTAGAAAACTTGGCTAAATATGGAACGAGTGTTCGGGGGAAAAAAGTTAAACCCCGTAAAGGGATGGCGAAGAGTATATCTCTCGAGATGAACCTTAAAAATGCATCAAGGTTTCGTGCACTGTTTATAAGGGAGAAGGGGCAGTCTCAACAATATCCTACTGTCCATAAAGGAACCCATGCAGGGGTACCTGATGGTTACTAAAGCGAGCATCAGCCTCTGAAAGTTAAGAACGGCTTCCAGGTTTAACTCCCCTTGCCCGGGAAGACCAAAGGCGCCCATTAGCGAAACCCAGGCCGCCCCGGGGGAGGTTTTCCCACAGGTCCCTATCGTCTGGCGCGAATCGGGAGCAAAAACCCATTCTCCCGCAGGAGGCCCTACAAAAATGGCGTCGGCTCCACCCCAATGTGACCAAACTGGAAGACAGGAGTTAAGTTCCCAGCTCCTCTCCCGAGCCCAGAATCGCGTCCGGATGGCCCAGCAGCCGGCTGGCAGAGCGGAGAGGAAGGCCACTGAGGCCTGAACTATCCCGAGGCCTCAGGCAGGGCCGGGGAGACCCGGCCGAGCAGAGTCGTGGTCCCGGGGTCCAGGCGGCATTACCTTTATTCTTGGGCATGGCGGTGACGGAGGCTTCGCGGCGTCTCTGACTTCTATTCCGGGAGCGGCGGCAGCGGCGGCACGGCGGCGGTGACTCCTTCAAGGGGCGCGTGGGGCGACGCGTGGGACCGCGCGGAACCAAACAGGCGCGAGAGGCCGGGTCGCGTGCGCTGGAAAGTCTGTGAGACGGAGATCTTCCGAGATCCGCCTGCGCCCACGTTCGGCCGCAGCAAATGGCGTCGCGGCTGCTTGCGTCTCATGTCCCCGCCTCCCAACACCGCCTGAGCCCGCCCCCAGCCCTATTGCGCAGGCGTGGCTTACTGACCCCTAGCGTTAGAACAGAGTGACACGCGCTCCCTCTGCTTTCACTGAAGTTGGCCGAACACACGGGGGCGGGGTCGTGAGCAGAGAGGAGGGGCAGTCAGGGAGAGAGTGGGCGGGGCCCAGGAGTCAGAGTAAAGGGCGGATTCAGGTAGCCGGCGCTGCCGGCAGACGCCAGACCTCTGCTGCTTTGTGACAAAGGAGGCACTCTGGATTTGAGCAGCTGACTCAACAACTCTAATTCACATTTCAATTTTAACTTGGCCTTTTCGCCCGACCAACTAGGTTGAGAGTCTGCGGGGAAGGGCAAGGCTTTCCTGACATCCCCATTACCAAAGCATAATACTTGCATGGCACGTGTTATTACTTTATAAACATGTCTTCCCTACCTCACTGCGAACCTTATTAGGCAGAGACCACATCTATTAGTTACTATTACTAGCACTTAGGAGAATGTCTGACACATAGTAGGTGCTCAGTACACACAGAAAGAAAGGGAGGAAGGGAGGGTTGAAGACCTAAACTCAGTGTTATAGGCTGAATTGTGTCCTCCCCAAATTCATATGTTGAATTCCTAACCTCTAATATCTTAGAATGTGACTGTATTTGGAGATAGGGTCTTTAAGGAGGTAATTAAGTTGAAATGAGGTCCTTAGGGTGAGCCCTAAGCCAATGCAATTAGTGTTCTTTTATAAAGAAGACGTTAGGTCTCGGGCACAGAGAGGGAACTCCACGTGAACCAGAAGGTGGCTATCTACAAGCCAAGGAGAGAGACCTTTGGATAAACCAACACTGCCAACTTGATCTCAGACTTCTAGCCTCCAGAGAAAATAAACTTTTGTTGTTTAAGCCACCCAGTCTGTAGTAGTATTATGGTAATCTCAGCAAACTAATACAGCTGACTATGTAGGACAAATAGCTTCACTTTTAAGTAAGCTTATTTTAAATAAATCCCATTTCTGCAAACATTACGGTTTCAACATTATCACTCTAGGGAAATGGACTACACCTAAGTGACAGAAAAATAAAGTACAATCGTTGAATAAATCGGTTCTCTACCAGGGACATTTGACAGTGTCTAGAGGTATTTCTGATTGTCACCGCTGGGGAAGGAGGGCAATGCTGATGGCATCTAGCAGGCAGAGGCCAGGGGTACTGTTAAACACCCTACAGTGCACAGTACTGGCCCCTCACCCCCAAACAAAGCATTATCCAGTCCAAAACATTAATAGAGTTGAGGATGAGAAACCAATGACAGATGCACTTTTTAGAGGGAAACTGAAATATTATGGGACTTAAAAGTTCTGGTTTTCTCTTTCCATTTGTAATATTTTGCAGTTTACACAATTGAGGAGGAAAGGATGCCTATGAAATTTATTTAAACTTTGTTTCAAGGACAATGATCATGAATTTGGGCTTTGGAGTTAGAGAGACCTGGGTTCAAATTCAGCTCTGCAGCAACTTATTACTCTATGATGTTAGACAAGTTACTTAACCTGTTTATAAGTCTCAGTTTTCTCATCTGTAAATCGGGTGTAGGAATAGTTCTTAACCGTATTGGTTAGTTGAGGAAATTAATTGATATAATGGATTCAGTGTTTAGCAATTGCGCCTAACACATGGTAAGTAATCAGTCTGACTCCCAGTGTCTGGAAGTTCAAATATGTAAAAATCAAAAGTCTCTGTCAATTACCCAATGTAAAATCCCAAAGGAAAAAAAAAAATTGGGCTTCATTTGTCTATTATAGGATGGTTTCCATATCTGACTGATGATCAGAATCACTTGGAAGGAGGTGAGTCATAGAGACATCTGGAGAAAATATATAGTCGGTAGAGGGAACAGCAAGGACAAAGCCCCTGAGTGGGAGCATGCTTGGCATAGTCAAGAAATAGCAAGAAAGCCACTGTGGTTAGAATGCAGTGAGCCGGGGGACTTTGAGGAGATGAGATCGGAGAGAAAAAGAGACCAGATCACTTGTTATAATCAGTGGATTCTGAACAGATCATTTTGGCTTCTGTGTTAAGAACAGACTGTAGAAGGGCAAGAGAAGAAACAAGACACCATGCAGGAGGCCGCTGTAATAGTCCAAGCAAAAGACAATGGTGGCTTGGTACAAAGTTTCTTTGTGGGATGAAGAGAGTGTTCTAAAATTAGATTATGATAATGGTTGCACAGCTCTGTAAATACACTCAAAAACATTGAATTAATGTTTTTGCTTTAAATGGTTAAACTTTATGGTATGTAAATTATATCTCAATAAAGCCGTTAAAAAAAGAAAATGAGAACGTGGATCTGACCAAGGAAACGTAAAAGAATTGACGAACAGTACTAAGATTAGAAAACACACATAAAATCGCAGTGGTATCAATGTACATGGTTTCTTCCAATATATCAGTTATTGCTCAGTGGGTGCAGTATAAAGGTAGGGATGAAAGGAAGTTTAAGGTGCTTCTGACATAGAAATTCAGGTGATCAACTATAGGTCCATGAGGCTTAGTCTGGCAGCAAAGGAAATAAAGAATGAAGATGGGGGTGGGGATGGAATGAACCATAGGGATAAAATTCAAATTCCTTAGTATGATTCACGTCTGATGGTCTGGCCCCTGCCTATTTCTCGAGCCTCATGTCTTGCTTCTTAAGTTCCATTCATACAGAACTTTTTATTTTCTTGAGTGCCTCTAACACTGACTCTCTGAATGTTCTCTTCTACCCTTCCTTCCTCTTTTAGGTCTCAGCATAATCATTGTTTTCTTAGAAGGTCTACTCTGATCCCTAGGCAACTCTGCTACACATTCCTGTAGCATCTTGCACTTCCTTTACCTAGCTTTGCTAGTGTGTGTCCAGTCTATCAGTTCAGGGTCCATTAACAAGATTTAATATCTGGATCTACAAAGCTACAGAAGACTGACCATGGCAGATGCAGCTACTCCGTGTTGGCCTGTGAATACGTTATCTTGCATGGCAAAGGGAATTAAGATTGCAGGTGCAACCTCGAGATGGGGATAGTATTCTGGATTATCTGATTGGGCCAAATATAATCACGTGAGTCCGTAGAAGTGGAAGAGGCAGAAGAGAGGGGTCAGTGAGGTGCATGCGAAGAGGACTCCACTCACCGTTGCTGGTTTGTAAAAATGGAAGAGGGGGGCCATGAGGCAAGGAATGCAAATGGCCTTTAAAAACTGGAAGAGCAAGGAAATAATTCTCCCTTAGAGCCCCCAGAAAGGAATGTAGCCTGGCCGACACCTTGGTTTTAGCCCAGTGAGACCCATATTGGACTTCTGATCTCCAGAACTGTAAGATAGTAAGTTTGTGTTGTTTTAAACCATTAAGTTTGTGGTAACTTGTTATAGCGGTGGTAGAAAACAAATAGAGGAATATTCTTATATTGCCTCCATATTGAAGCAATGGATTGAAGCAATCCATCTTAACCTGAATACCCAAATTAACCCAAGTGGGTAGTCCCGAAACCATCTGTTTGGGTTGAATTGTGTCTCCTTTAAATTCCTATGTTGAAGCCCTAACCCCCAGTACCTTGGAGTTAGTCTTTAAAAAGGTAATAGAGTTAAAATGAGGCTGTTACAGTGGGGTCCTAATGCAATTTGACTGGTAGCCTTAAAAGAAAAGGAAGATACCAGGGGTGAGATGACCACATGAAGAGGCAGCAAAAGGGTGGCCATCCACGAGCCAAGAACAGAGGCCTCAGAAGAAATCAGACCTGCCAGCACTTTGATCTTGGACTTCTAGGCTCCAGAACTAAGAGATAATCAATTTCTGTTAAGGTACTTAGTCTGTGGTGTTTTGTTGTGGCAGTTCTAGCAAACTAAGACGCCATAATATAAAACTACTAAAAATACCAACTGGGAAATAAAGGGCTAACTGCAGGCCTATAACCCTCTCTACCAGAAATCAATGACCTCAAATTTCCTTTTAAATGTGCTAATGATATTTACTAGCAGAAAGGAAATAAAAAGTCCTTATCCCTAAAATGCTTTTAGCAAGATACGCTTGGTCTACAGAGATGGCTTATTGTAAAACCTGGAATTTATGGATTTATGAGGCATAGTTGGCTGGAGAATGGGAGCTTATCATTTAAATTGTGTAATTAATGAGGCATAAAAAGAGGATGTTGCAAAACCAAATGACTCCCTTTGTTTAAACAATATCTCCGCATACATTGCTCAGAAACAAACTTGTCCTTTAATTCTGAATCCAAAATGTATTATAATGAGGGAGAAAAAAGGTTATTTTGGAGTTAAATTGATAATCTTGGACTTCTCCAAGGAAAGATTCTCATCTGTGCCTGATGATTACCCTGTATCCTCTGAACAATCAAGTTTGGTTTGGGTAAAATCTATGACTGATGTGGGTCTGATCTGACAAACTCTTTAGGCTAACCAAAACTTTGCACAGAAAAATTAGTGTGCACTTAACTCAGAAACATTCCTGTTTGAAGTTCTATCAATCCAACTTGATAGATTTATACTTTGGATAGAATAATTTGATAATATGAAGGACTGATCATCATGTAATTGAAATAATCCGATAAAGGAACATACATGCATTTATTTGAAACTTTATTATATAAATTTTCATTTCTTTTAAAGATTACAAAACCTGTTCTGTGACAGGAATACAAGCAATATTGTTCCAAGATTATTCATGGATACATCTGAAAGAGCTTAGATTACACATTAATAGTATGATTTGAAAACTTCCCAGATTAGACTCTTAAGTAAAACAATTTAAAGTATTCAGTGATATTTAATCCTTTACAAGCATTTCATAATTATGGCAGCAGTGCCAAGCATCTGATGCGATTTAACCACCAATAAAAGGTACAATACATATGAACTCATGATATGGTACCTTGGGCTTCTGGCATGCCTTACTAGAGAGAACTAGTAGAAATTAAGATCATATATAATAGTAGAAAAATACTTGTGATTTTTTTTTTTAAAAACTGTTTAAGTAGATGCCCACCCCATTCCCACCCATGGCCAAAAATGCAAAATAATTACATCCCTTAGGTGTATACCTTCCCTTTTGTTTAGGGTAAGAGTTAAGATAAACCTAATACATGTACATAATTTTAAGACTTAAAAACTCATCACCCATAATTATTAAGGATGCGAAGGAATGGCAATACCTTGAAGCTTTTTTAAAATTAAAAAAACAAACAAACAAAAAAACACTTTAGATGGTAAACTACACTTAGAGAAACACAAACCAAAACCTTTATCCGTATGCCCTTGCTTTGTATTTAAAAGTTCTAATTTAAATACTTGTTTGAAAAACTCAGTATACAGTTCATTCAGTACTATAGTGATAATAGGAGTAAAGATTTTTCACTTCCATTAGATATTGAACTAATCTACTTAGAGGAATATTATAGCGACTCTCTTCTCACATACATTTACATATATTGTACTCAAATGGTATGTGCTCTAAAGAGGTTTTCTTGAGGTTTGCACCTCAGAATCTAGTCTCTAATTTTCCTTTCCACTAATCTCTATTCAATCATATACTTTGTTAGTTGCTCTGGGAGAAGTCATGGACATTTAAACAGCTTATCATGCACTTCAAGGTTACATGGCAAATTAATGAGGAAAGTGCCTTAAGAGGTAGGAAGTAGGCTCTTATCCCAACCCTTGGTATGCCCTGTCATGAACAGTTACAAGACTGGAATCAAAGTGGTAAATGTGAGACTGATAGTAATACAAAGCTTAATTAAGAAAATTAAGTCAACTTAGTTACTAGAATTCTTTGAGAACACTCAGTCACATTGGAACCAGTTACAAGTCACTCGATCACACAGAATACAGCAGTGTCAAAAATACATAAAGCACACTGTAGATACAAATTCTTCTTGGCCATCCATATTTAGGTATTATCATTCTGTAGATTCTTCACTAGAAAAAGTGGTTAAGCATGGCTTTGTAGAATACCACAGTCCCAAGAAAGCGAATTTCATTCCTTCATTAATTGGTCTCCACCAATGGTCACTTGGGGAGACCAGCAAAATGTAAGCAATCTGGAGGTGAAAAGAGGACTATTTTCATTTATTGAAATAAAAATGCTGAGTTAACTTATCTGTGAATTAAATAAGGCTCAAAGTATACATCCAGTTTGCTAGCCACAAGGAGTTGGACATTTCAGAGGACAGAACTCTAGGACTGGGGTGGAATCTCTTGGTTTAAGCACCCAGTCAGCCATGAAACCCATCATGTTTGTTAATCTCAGAAAGCAGACCTTTTCTGACCCTTTACATTCCTGATATCTGTTCTGATGCCTTCATAAGTCTCAAATGCTCGATATCACCATGAGAGACAATTTTCTCTATAAAATACAGTAAAGCAAGCTGAAAAATTTTAGGACATTTGTAAAAGGCAGGAAGTAGAGAATATCGAAGTCATGTTGAGATGTGTATTGCTGGCTTCCGTGGTAATTAAGCATATCTGTACCAAGACCCCCAAGTCTTGAATGCTTTTCTTCTCTCACCCCAGGCTGGACCCACCCCAACCCCTTTCCTACCCAAACCATTCTGCCTACTCATGAAGCCGTTGCACCCCGCTCTCCTTTCAAATCTCTTCTGGGTTGAGGGTGCAGGGCACAGCTAACAGGCCAGCCCCACCTCCCATGATATGGCCCCTGGCCCCAACAGCAACCACTTCTTCAAAACAGATGGGAAATGGTTGACCCAAACCTGCTCTTTGCAGCCCACCACACGTGAAATGTGGAATCTCTGCCATATACACACCACACCCTCTCCAGACACTCGCTAAGTGACTTTTCCCATATATCGGCCTCACAGCATCTCAACTCTGTGCCTTGTCAAAATTAGTACATTTTTTGGACTTTTAGGGTTGCCTGTGAATAAATGAATCCATATAAAATCTGTTAAAGTCCAGGGTCTATTGTACTTAGAAAGAAGACATCTCTACAAATTAGAAGGAACAAAAACAATTTATATAAAAAATTAAAAGGACAATGAACTTACCTTAGGTTCAACATCATCACTTGAAAGGGAAGATATAAAATACATGGTAGTGTAATCTGTATTTTCCAATATGTGCTTAGCAATGTTAAATGCAATCTACCATTCTGGGTATTAGTTTGGGTTATAAACTGAGAGGTTTGTGAAAGTGGCCTGATAGTTTAGTTCCTTCTTTCACATTGAAATATCTTTAAGATTGAACTGAAACCTCCTGGAAGAAGCCCCGGTAACCAGCAGTACTACCTGGTGAAGGGCCTCACTACAACCGTAGAGGTCTGGAGGAATTGGACCTGGAGAAATGAATGGAAAGGTTCACTCAGCACAAGCACTACCTTTAGAGCACACTGTTGGCTGAGTCTGTCTGCTGGAAGTCAAAGGCAATAGGAACACCACAACCACAGATAAAATAAATTATGCTCAGGAACTGCTTTATAGGCAGAAAGCCTTCAGTTTTGTGAACATATAACTTGCTTTTCTCCAATAAAACTGGTAGGTGGACTAGGCAAAGAAGGCAGTATTTTTGAAAAGTGATAAACTTGGCATTCATATACCAGTAGAGGGCTGCCTCAGGAAATATGTAGTTTTTGAACAACTCAGCTCCTGGTTGGGTGATATGATATGAAGGGAAGGCAGCATGGTGTTATGAGGGAAAAAAACTGAATGGGAAGTTAAGGATTCATACATTTACTTCTGGTTCTAAAAGACTATGATGGACAATACACCTAAGTAATTATGGGACAGCATCAGTGTCAAAAATTTGAAAATATATGGTCAGAGTTCCATTAACATTTTAAAAGCAACAAGAATTTGGGATGACCGTGATTTGAAACACTGAATAGAGAAAGAAAAAAGAAAAGCTTTCTTTCCAGGCAATGGAAAGCAGCTTTTAATAGTTACCATCCATATACTCAAGACTTAAAAAACTTTCTCCATCTAGATCTTCTGAAATCTCTCCTCATACATTTTTTTTTTATTGAAGATAAACTTACATTTGATTTCTATGCAATAATCATTTTGTGTCACTTGGGCAAAAGGAATGTTATAGATTTTTCTCTTCCTCTTTAATTGCATAGAGGAGAAATTAAAGAATAACAAGTGGCTTCCGAGACAGTTAGATAGACCATGATTTCTTGGCTTCGTACTCTCAGGAGATTTAAAGCTTCTGGCAGGAAAAAAGATTTCTGATGTAAATGGCTTAGTACACAACTAAGAAAGATCTGTTTGGGCACATTCTTGATGAGGTAAGTTGAATCACTTTTTCCTTGCTCATATGTTTTTCATATCATATACTGATGCATGCTAGGTAATTTGGCCAAGACACAAATAATGAATACAGAAGTTTCTTTAATCAAATAAAACTATGGAAACTACCAAACTAGATGTAGATGATGAATACTGTAATCTCAGTAGACCCAGTGACCATTATGAAAACTGACCATTTCTGAAGTTAAAGGAAGCACTGCATGGTTATAAATCATCAGGAAAAATTCAGAAAACACTCAATGCTGAACATTCACTTAGCCTACCTTAGCTATGATTTCAGGTTAGAACAGATATTGTTTGATCACGAAAGTTTTCTTCCCTAGAATAAGAAAGTTTAAATCCAATTTCATATAGAGGGAGCCCTGTGGCTTTTATTACATTCAAATTAGTGTTTAATATAGAGCATCGTAATGGGATAGAACTCGTTATTATTTACCTTTTTTCTGAAAAAGCCTACTTTTCTCACAGGTATACGGGAACAGGTATCCTGTTGTTCGTATGCTAAATTCTGCAATTTGATCTATGTAAACATGAAAAATATCCAATGGGACTTGAATGACCTGCTGCTAAATTCTGCTTTGCCAATTTTTTCACCATGACTCCCAAAAGGCCTTCGATGTATACTGGCAAAATTCCAAGTTATATGCCAATACTAAGTATGGACATCGTTTAAGATTAAAAGTGCAAGAACTACTTCCTTAATGAAAGAAAAAGGAACCTTAAGGAGTTGCAAAGTATATGGACTAACTTCACAGGTGTAGTCTTGATGCCATGTTACACACATATAACTTTCTCTGCCATAACAGCTCTCTAGGTATGTCTGACACAGCACCTGACTTTAAGAAACAAACGAGCGAACCAGTGAAACAGACATGGGGAAAGATATGTACATTTTGGAAGGATTACATTCAACAGCTGTTCCACAATCTGGCTGTTTTTAGGGCTGTCCAACAATACTGTTAATCCAGGTGAACTATTTAACCAGATTTAATAGTCGATTGATTAATAATAATAGATTCCAAGTTAAACAAGGCATGTATACATTAAAGAAAGCAGTACAGAAATGTACTGTATATGAACTGTTTACAAAAACATACAAAATGTTGGATGGCACAAGGGATACAGTGCTAATATAAACGGATTAAGCTAAGTGCTTAACATAAACTGTCCATCCCTATAACTAACAAAGAATATTTAAGGGACATGAAATATTTCCTATAAAAATAATGCTATATGGTGTAGAGTACTTTATTCAGTGTATTTTTAGGTGGTATTCATATGTTCATTATTCTTCTTATTGATTCAGTGAATATATCTTCGTCATGTTTCCATTTTCATTTCATCGAAGCTCCAGGAAAATCTAACTTGCTAACAATCATTTAAAGCGAGAAGAGACGAAAGCGGGAGCAGCAGCAGGAGCAGCAGCATTATGGGTACCAGCTGGGACAGTGTGTGCTTGCAGGTGTCTCTCAGATATGTGCTACCTGTCGCCAGAACTTGTGCTATCAGCTTACACCACGGTACCAAATATCCACTGAGGTCGCTTCACAGGGCTGTGGAGGTGATTTTTTTAATACCTCTCCGCTGAGCAAGAGTAGAACGGCCTACTGGTTCCAAGACTGGTGACTGATTACGATTTAAAGCAGAATATGTAGCTGCCATGGCACCCTGAAAACATGAAAGAAAAGTCAAAACAAAAATGACAAAGGGAAGTTGTACACAGAATATGAAATGAAGATGTATTTTCCCAGATAATTTCTTCATTAGCAAATTTATGTAGATCTTATTAGGTTCAGAATCAAAATAACCACACTGGTCAAATCCTCTGATTTAACTGAAAAGGAAGAGGCCAATGTGGGAGGTTGAAATTATGGATGAGAAAGGACAGAGATGAGCTTATAACAAGCAGTCTCCACTTTTCTCAGGGCTATTTGACTTGTTTTTCTTTGTGATTTTTTAATATGAGAAGCGGCAAGGCATGCTCTTTTGGAACTTGAGTTTTGCCTCTGATGACAACCTCAAAGTTTGCTTTGGGTTGTGCATAAGAAAAAACAATATGAAGAAAAGTTAAGAAATCCATAAGCTTCTCTGATTGATGATTCACAAATTAAGAAATCATTCTTAAACTAGATTTATTACAATATTTGGCATGGCTTGCCTTTTTCTTTTCTAAATCACCCACTGTAAGAGAATCCCACAGGAGAACTGAGTGCAGGCTGAGAGAGACAGCAAGAGGGAAAGGTACTGCGGCATGGAGAGGGCGTCTCCTGGTCTCTCCTGAAGGACATGTGGAAAATAGGGCCTGAATGGGGCTGCTCACCTTGACCAGATGTGGTGCGTCCTGTCTGTTCAGTTGGTATTGCGGCAGTTGGTCCCAGTGGACTATCCATGGGTGTCTGAGCACAAGGGCAGCAGTCAGTCTCTGATGCGGGTCTACATGAAGCATCTTTGACACCAGGTCCTGTAATGAGAATAATAATAATAAAACAAACTTAAGTATTTTTGTTTTCTATCTATAGCACTTTATACTGTTGAATACAGTTCCTTACCATGATACTATTTTTTCCTGGTAGTAGGTAGACCTTGGAGCTCAAAGCAATTTGGTCAACATGACAATTTGTTTTATTTTTTAAAAAGCAGAAACCTAAGTCTCTGTTTTCTCTTCCCTGAGTGACAGTGATTTTGGTGCATTACAAAGGGTAAATTTACCACGTTTTATGTATCTTTAAATACTTCAGCTTTTTTCCTCCTTAGATATTCTGAGGTTTCCACATTTTCGTAGGTTTATTTTTAAGTAATTTTCAGCTACTTAAGATTTTTTGTGCTGCTGGCAATACTGAAAAGCAGAACTGTCCAATAACATGAATTTAACTGGAGGGCTCTAAATGCTACCCAAGATTATAGCATTTAAATTTTTTTTCCTACTTCAAAAGCAATGCACAGGCATTATAGAAAAATCAGAAACATAGAGAAGCAAAATAATTTGAATACCCAGAATCCTATTCTTCCAGAGACAAATGCTTTCTATCTATCCAAATGATTTCCTATGCATGGAATATAGATCCATGTAATTGCTATATAGTTTTATACTCTCCCAAATAACACACTTGTGATTTATAAAAGCCATGTACCACTTGTTTAATTTTTCATTCAAAGCATATCTACCGAGTATCCATTAAAGGCCAGGCATTCTGCTAGGCTTTGGGTATTTAGCAGTGAACAATATAGAAATGAACTGTGACCTCCTGAAGCTTTCAGCCCAGTAAGGGAGAGACAAAGAATCAACTACAAAGCAAATATTAAGTAAGGTCTTTGATGGGATGAATAAATAGGAGGAGCAGCTAGAGGAACACAAAGAGAGACCTGACCTGAACAGGGCAGGGTGGCCCTGAAGTGACTTCTTTAGAGGAATGTGACGCCCAAAGGATAAGCAGGAGCTGGATTAGAGAAGGGAGGGATTGACAGAACATTTCAGGGAGGTGGAACTGAGTACCTTTGGAGGAAAGTCCTCAGGTAGGAAAGAACATGTCACAATTAAGGAATGAAAAAGAACGCAATGTGGCTGCAGCATAAATTGTGAAGGAGAACATGGCGGCAAATAAAGTGAGAGAGGTAAGAAGCAGCCAGACCACAAAGGCCCTTATAAGCCATATTAGCAAATTTGGACTTTTTCTGGTGGCAAATCATTTAAAGCAAAGGAGAGATGCGGTCAGGTTTGTACTTTAGAGAGATTACATTCACTAAGTGTGGAGGAAAATGGATTGGGGAGGGCAAGCCTGGAGACTCGAATTTGAGACTGGCAAGAGAATGATAGCTTTGGGGGGTGGGTATAAAAGATGGAGAAATATGGATGGAATTGAGATACTTAAGAGAAAGAACCGACAGAACCTGGTGGTTGACTGGATATTGGGAACTGGGGAGACATTATTCCAAAGACTCCTCTGCCATTAGATATTTATAGTTTCTGACTTTTAGTTATCATTAACAGCTAAGAAAGAAATAATTGAACAGAATCAGAAATAAAAAGTAAAACAATTAGGGACCTCCCCTTCCAAATTCTGAATGTGGGCAACCCAACCTTGCTTCAAATGAATAAAAGGTTGCAAAAGTGCCCAGGGGTACAACAAAAGTCTATTATAATTTTAATCAGATCTGTGTAGTAACCAGTGCACTTTTGGCCACTTAGAACCACTTCTCCTACTGCTATTCTTCAATGGTTCCTCCTCCTAAGCTTTCTCTTTAAATGGTGCTGCTCCCTGAATTCCTTCTATGGCTCTCTTATCAGTCTGCTCAGATAAGCTCATTCATGCTCAGGGCTTTAGCTACTATGGATGATGACTTCTCTCCTAAGATCTACATCCATATAGCCAGTTGCCTAATGGACCTACATCTCTTAATTATGCGTCACAGAAGCATTTCAAATTCATAATGTCCACATCTGCAATCATCACTCCTTTCCAAACTACTTCTTTTGTATTCCATGTCTTGATGAAGAAAACCACTACTCAGTCATTTGCCCGAGGTAGAAGTGTGGACCTTACTCACGCTTGATATCTGCCTCCCAAATTTCTCTTCCATTTGGCTCAAATCCCACTACAACTACTCTAGTTTAAATCCACATCATTCATGACCCGAAATACTGCAAAATCTTACACTAATGTCCTTAATATTAGATCAGTGAAAACTGAATGAAATAATGTATGTAAAAGTGTTACCACAGTCCTTGACACGTAAGTGTTCAGTAAATGATAGCTATGGTCCTGTTCTTCTCAAAGACACATATGACACATATGACACATATGGTCCATAAGAATGACGACAGTCACAAGTACAACTTGCTCTTGAGGGGACACACCAGATTGATGGAGTCCTCTATCCCAATTCTGTGGGTATTCACTATATTATGTCATGCTTGTAATCATAAGTCTTAACTGGACAAATAAGCAAAAGTTATTCGTAATAGTGTGGCATTTATAAGATAGGATGTGAGTTGGATGCAATTTTTTCTGCTTTATTTGTACTTCTCTTTCACTCAAAAAAGGATACTAAAATGCAAGTAAATGAGAACTAAATTATAGAAATTAAGGAGATAACCTTGATTTGCTTTAACTTATTAAAAAAGCAGGCAATGTGTAAGCTCTGATACTTTTTATGGTAACATTATTTGATAGGCTTCACAACAGATCACAACAAAGGTTGTGGCAGACTCCATGGATAAGAATTACTGCTTCACAGAGTGAATTTGAAAAAGGAAAATCTGATCACTATAATGCTTAATATTTTTCAATGGTTCCTCAATACCTAGAGTGAACCCCAAATCCTGAGCATGATCTACAAAGCCTTTCATAATCTAAGTTCATCGGCTCCCTTCTCACATGTACCCTGTACTAGTCATATCAAACGACTCGCTGCCCCCGGAAGCATTCTCCCCTTCCTGTGCCATCATGACCACGAACGGCATGTGCTGCTCCCTCAGCCTGGGATGGACATCCTTCTGTTCCCCAAAGCTGCCTAGCAAATCCCTCCATTGCTTCTAGAAAGCTTTCCCTGAACTTTCTGACCGAACATCACCCGTGAACTTCTTTAGCACAGAAAATGTACCACTGTAACAGCTCATGTGACACTGTACTGTATATTTTTGGTCATTTCCCAACTAGGCTGTGAGCTCTCTGAGATCGAGAATTCTATCTGAGTCACACCTTTTATCCCTGGAGTCTTCACTCATTAAACACATTATAGGTGCTCAACACCTGAATTAAAAAAAAAAAAAAACACAAAAAACAAGTATCCAGGAAAATGAATTATCTGATTTAAGAAAGTATATTAAGAAAGGGGAAAGGCTAACATTTCATTTTAAACGAAGTTACAAAGCCAAATATTATCTATACAAACTGGTTAGCCGAGGCTTTGTTTCTCTGCCAAAAGTATCTATAGAAATTTTTTGCCGCTCAATTTATTTATGCAATCACATCAACTCAAGCTTCCACCTCTAAGAAAAATCAGCAGGCACGTTTACCAGTATGTATCTTCTTCATCTCCTCTATGTTTTTCTTGTTTTGAAGTGGAAAACTTTGCTCTTCTTTTTAAAAGAGAATTTTCTATGAATAGAGTTAAATTAGAGTGGAGTTGGAAAGCAAGTCAGTGAAGACTCCAAGGGATGGCAGATCTTCCAGTTAGAAAGGCTTTTCAAATGGATTTCAAGCTGACGCTATAAAACTATACTGTTTATTGTGAAAAAGATAACACCTTTTTATAATATGGACCAAAAATAGGACATGGTATAGTTATTCTAGGGAACAAGGGCTTTGGAATCAGCTTGAAGCACCCACACGTACCTGGTGTGTAACCATGGACAAGTTCACACTAAAATTCTGGGCCTTGGTTTCCTTCTGTGAAATGGGGATGCTATTGTTTATTTAACAGGGTTGTTAAGAGGATTGAATGGGATAATTTAGATAAAGTGCTTCCTGAGGCACAGTGCAGACACACAAATCATGAAGACTACCATCATTATTATTCATCATGTTCCTCAGTAAGAAGTAACTTTGGATGTATAGATTATAATAAAGTCAAACCACTGCCTTCTGCCAAAGAAAACAAAATAATTGGTTCATTTTTGAGTTCAAGTTACTTGGTAACATCACTTCAAAATACTACTTCATAAACAAAAGTTTCTAATTGATGTTTTTATTCTCACCAAGGATTACGAAAAATTATTTTCTCAAACACTTACAATAAGAAGCCATATTTACCTTTGCTGTGTCTGAAACAGAATTCCAGTAACCACCACTGAGTGAGAATTTGCCGCTGCCTATGCGTGCCAATATTTCCTCTGGTGTATCATCAGGGCCATTTGCAAATGGAGTGTAACTAATTTATAATACAATTAAAATGTTAATGAGTAAAATTTCTTTTTTGGTTGCTAATCTTTATATTTATTTTCAGTGCCCAAAAGTACTGAGTAATTTAATTACTGTAGTATTTTATTGAAATCTACTAAAGTGAAAAATATCAACAACATGAAGCTCCAAAGTACCAGGTCAAGGTATAAGTTATGAAATATTAATTAGACTTAATATACAAAAATATAAACATATAAAGATATGAAACATTATAGAATAAAACATTTAAAATAGTGTATGTTTATGACATAACAAGGGTACAAAAAGGTATAAAAAATCAATTTAAGACCTTATGACATTAATAATACATTATAGAAAATTAGTAATGATATAGCTTAAATGTATTGTATATATACAGAATTGTATTATTAGAAAACATGAAAAGATATGAGATAAAAAACCTAGATAATATAAACAAAATATTGATGAATAAATGCTTACAACATATGGTACATACTTACCCAGTAAGCATTGTATAGAGAAGGACACCAAGACTCCATATATCACACGCAGCATCATAGCCTTGTCGTTTTAAAACCTAGGAAAAGTAAAAATTAGGAATAGCACACCACCATTTATTACGTAGATTTAGATATGTTTTGGGAACTGAATTATAGCTCCTGAATCAATGCGTATAAGAAAAACCTCAACAAGACACAATTGACAAATGAGGCAACAATACCTTAATCCATTCTAGAACTTTCTGCTACTAACAGTTCATATATATATATAAGTTTTGGTATTCAAATTAACATTTATTGAGTGCTGCCATGGCACATAAAGGATAGCTACAGACGTGTGATTATGCAGAAAGACAGAAGTCAGGGCAGGAAAAGGATTATAGGTTGCAGACTGATGACAGCATGAACTATCAACAGAAGAAAAGTGCTGACATTTTATTCTAATTGTTCAGTAAGTCTTGAATTAAACAACTATTAACTATTCTATATTGAACACAGCAAATGAAATACTGAAATACTGCAAGCAAACTCTTTCACAATTACCTCTGGTGCAACAAAATTTGCAGTATAACAAGGAGTCATGAGAAGACCATTTTCTGCTCTTAGCTGTTTGGCAAAGCCAAAATCACAAATTCGAATAGATTCTGGATTGCCAGATTCATCCACGTAAAGAATGTTGCTAGGTTTCAAGTCTCTGTGAACCACCTAATTGAAATACAAATTAAAGAGGTACATTAACAATACATTTTCATTACAGAAAATTATTCACAAACTGTCAAGCAATGCACTTAACAAGATAATGCGTGCTGACCTTTAAACGATTCCAACATTATAAAATGCTGATAATGTAAGTATACCTCTCTAACACAGAACTGGGGCAAAGAGGGTAGGAAGAAAGAATAGTACTGTATTCACCTTCCCCCTCTTTGTCCAGCTGTGTAAGTGGGTTAAGGAGAAATGCAAATAGCAATATCTGTCTCCAGGTTATTTGTTCATTAAACAAATATTTATTGAGTGCCTATCATGTGTCAGGGTATTATATACGGAGCTGCAGATACCGTGGTGAACAAGACCCATAACATCCTTGCCTGTAGATGCTAGGAACTTACATAGTAGTGGGGAGGCAGAGAGTAAACAGGTGTAAGATGGGGGATAACTAAGGGGGTCAGGGAGGATCTCTAGAGGAGATTAATACCTGATCTAATACCTTTAGAACAGAAGGAACAGGCAGAACAGTGGGGGATAGTCATTCTAAGTAGAGGGAACAGTATGTACAATGGATGTACACAACAAACGTGCAGACAGGCTCAATGGAACAGGCCTGGGATTTAGGAGTAAAAAGGAAAAAAAACCCCAGGCTTTAAGTACTGCCTATTTGATTTCCAAGTACAATGTCTGTCTGTCTGTCTGTCTGTCTCTCTCTCTCTCTCTCTCTCTCTCACACACACACACACACACACACACACAAAGATGCCATTCCTTTACTGTTTTGTATTTCTTTCCCCCTTTAATCACCTACTTGAATACTTTTTTTATCATAAGCCTCTCTGACGCTCCTTATTAGACTTGTGTTTCCTCCATTATCAAATTCTGAGTCTATATTCTGATCAATTGCCTCAGTTTGAGTTCCTAACATCCAGAACATGACTTCTCAAGACCATTTTAATAACTTACTACTGCTGAGGCACTGGGAAAGAACACAGAAGACTTAGATAACTGCAAAGTCATGAATTCTTCACTGAATATTGAGTTCTACTAATTTCTAGCTACCATACTAGGTGACTCTTGATGAGCTAGAAGTCAAGAAGCTCTAGAGTTAAATTGACACAGTCTACCTGGTAGCTTCTAGGGGAAAAAACAAACAAAACTGAAAATTAACTCCTTGGGAAATAAGCCCTTCCTTATTCTTTTTCTTGCTTCGCTCCTCTGCAGTTGTCGTTTTCTCCTTCCCTCTCATTTTCTTGTTTGCCCCTTTTCCCTTCCAGGCTTCTCTTTCTTTTAAAAATACGATTTCTTGACATTTATTAAAAATCTGTACACAGGAAGAAATGAGGAGTGCATCCACCAGCTAGAAGCCAGGTGATGATTTGGCCTCATCGGTTCAAAGGATTTCCTTTTATAAGTGAATACAACCCATGATTCTCTGGTTCTTCTAAATTTGAAATGGGCCTAGTTCTCAAGAGTACAGAGTGGCCTGGCAAAAGCAGGGCTATGTCTTTCAGGTCAGAAGATCTCACTCGCTTTTTCTTGGGAAGCCTAAGAATTTAATATAAAAAAGCTAAGATTTCAAAGTAGCACTTTGGGCTTAATGGGAGAAGTCTACATAGAGGAACAGTAGGATAATTAAACTAATAGTGGTTACTTTCCATTACATGCATAAAGTAACTTCTACTTTTGTAATTTTAGATCAAACATTAAGAAAGAAAAGGCAAGAAAACAAGGGTGTGTGTGTGTATGTGTGTGTACAAAACATTAAAAAGACTTACCCCTTGTGCGTGAAGATATTCAACAGTTTTGGTTATAGTAAACAGGACAGCGCTGGCCTCTCGTTCAGAGAAAAATTTCTGTCTAAGAATTTTATCCAGTAATTCACCCCCTTTCATAAGTTCTGTCACTACGTACACATATTTTCCATCATCATATACCTATAAAATTCAACAACAAAATGTAAAAAATTATTTGAAGCCTTACATGTGCTCAGAGCAAAGTTTAGCATGTTAAAGAGAAATTAAGACTCATTTTATATTCAAGGAAAATTTTACTTATCACAACCAATGGAGGATATACAACTTGCAGTTTTATACACATAAGAATATTAAAATAAGAAGCGACAAGATTGAATGTCAGGAAAAATAAACCGTAATTTCCTTCTGCGAAACTTAATTCATGGCAATCAAAGTTACGATGGGCATTGTAGACGAAGGGGCACTGAACTTTTGCTCTTAGGGTTCGTTCCTCTTGATATTTCTATCTACCGCCGATGGCAGGGATGGCAAGGACTTTGGCAGGGACAAAGACACATGCCTGTGATTTTCCTGGAACTTCTGCAACTGCAGAACTTCCATATTTATATACATAGTACAATAAATTATTCTGGTTTTGGTTAAACTGAAAGACAAGTTGTGGCTAGAATTAAGTAGGAAGATTAAGTAGCAAAGAGAAATTCTATACAATCACCCAGAAGCATACCAGTTTACTCCCAATGTAGAAATAAAAAACTCACTGTAATTTTGGATTTATACTCCAGAGGATCCCAAACAGAAATAAGCCCTTTATTAAACTTCAGTCCTTTTTATTCCCCCTTCACCACAGAGTTACTGCGTATCTTTATTTAGCTCCATAAGAGGTACCACACCACATACTGGGGCCCCAAATATGGAGAAAACAAAGTACTTGCCCTCAAAGTTTTTATTCCACTAGGGAGAAACAGATATGGAAATAAGAGTTAAAACAATATTGGAGATACTGTAGTAAAAGTGGGGGAAATATCAGAGATTTTGGAAAGGAGCAAAGATGTAAAAAATAGTGACAGCTTAGGGAGCTTCCAAGGCAAGGCTGACGGACAGTAATTTCTACACTTCCTTTTCAATTTACGTGGTTGGATTCTTGGAGATTATATTAAATAAAGAGTCACTTCAGTTAAAAGCTTCACGTTTTAACGCGACTAAGTTATCATTCTTCTTTTAACAATAAGCAGTGATAAATTAATCTGAGGAAACTGGACTTCTGGTTTGGAAGGAGAAGGGAGGCGAAACTTTAGAATTCACAAAATCTCAGGTGAAAGGTCCCTTAGAAATCCTCTGGCTCAGCTGGCCACATGACATCTGCTGTACACACCCAGATATGGCCTTTGAGCCTATGTGACCACCATCAGCAAGAGAGGACTTAATGCTGCCTAAGGAGTTCAGACCCTTTGCCAAAAGCTCTAATATGATAAAAGTCATAGGTAGGAGGGAAAGGATACCTCACTTGTCCTGGGGGTAGTGGTGGGCAGGGCAGGCTTCCTGGAGGAAGCAACGCATTAGCAAAGTCTTAGATGTACGGTAATTAGCCAGGCAAAGAAGGGAAATAGTGTTTTCAACTGAGGGAACCATAAATTTGAAGACAGAGCATCATGAGAAAATGAGGCAGTTTCAAAAATGCATACATACTGGAGCATGGCTGGAGCACAGGGTGTGTGAGGAGGTGTGAAAATTGCCATGGACAGAGGAAGGGAGGGACCAGAGGTGATGTGGGGTATGAACTGCAGGCAGGGAAGTAACATGGTTAGACATGCGTGTAGTACTGTGGAAGACAGTTTGGGGAGTCCATGGAGTGTGAGACTAGCCAATCCTGAATATTAATTAATACCCAAATGTTCCAGTAAATGCAAATATTAAAGGCAATACTGTCAGCAATACTTTTCTTCTTCAAGTGAAAGTAGAAAAATTACCTATATAAACACATTTTTCTTTATAACTGAAATTATGCTATGTTGTCCTCCAATCTAGTTTTTACTTACTATTCTTTATAATAGACATTTATTTAAGGTAATACATTTTCAGCCTAGATGATTCTCAGTTATACATTTCAGGTTTAACCAACATCATATGAACACATTGAAGACAGCTGCATCCACACATTTCCATTACATGATTATTTCTTTGACCATTCTGCTCTTTTCTTTTCCAAATAACTTTTCAGATATGGTTCAAGGTAGAATTATCCTCCTTATATTTTGTCCATTGCTCTTTAGGCTTGATTTGCTGTCTCATGGTCAGGTCCAGTGCTCTCTTAATGTGAAACACCCTGTTGTTATATAGGTTCTTAGGAAGCCTTCTTATGACTTCTTTTACATCGTCATCCATGTGTATTGTAGCATCTTGCATTAACCCCAGTTTATTGAACCCTGCAGCACTGTAATACCATTTTCGAATACTCTCTAGCCACTGGATTGATGCTGCAATAGCAGGCTTGCTCGCCATTTTGGCCCTTTACTTACTATATTAAGTTCTTTGTCTACAATATGATATTTGAAAACATTCCAGATATGAGTTAGACAACTAATTCTATATTAAAGAATATACTTACATCCTTTAGAGTAATAATGTTTGGATGCTGTCCATAACGAAGAAGAATTTCAATTTCTTCTGTTGGGTCTCTCTTGCTTTTATCAATAATCTAAAAGGCAAATAGTTATCACGAAATCTCATGAACTATACAGTCATAAAACTTCAGTATTTACAGCTACAAACCTTGGGTATCATCTTATGCAAACACTGTATATATAAGTCACTTATCAACCAGTTTTATTTAAATACCTGGCCAGACTGTCTAATCAAAATTTGAAAGCCAGTCTTGATGTAGATGGCAAGGCCATAAAGTAAATTTTATGCCATGCTTCAATGGAATATCCCATTAGTTGTAAGTTACTTATAAAAAATTAATTAACAGTTAAGTAGAACAAGCTTATTTTTGAAGCTAGGTGCAAAGCTAAGCAGAAAACCACACCTAGAATTTTACTTGGCTAGAATTAAGTTTAATTAGTATAATAAAGCCCTTTAAAATACTAACGTACCTTTCCAACTCTTTTATGTCAGCTGCTTCTTAAAAATATTTCTATAAGTGTTTTAATGTTAAAATAATATTGTATTAAAAAAAGACAAGGTTAGCTTTAATTTCATCCAAAGGGTGGTCTGAAATAAATTTTGTGACTTCCACATTTTCAATTTTAAAACTGCTTAGTAATTAATGTATGCAATAAATACCCAAATGCTCCAGCAACCTAGAAAAGAGTTTGCAACTCTCAATATAAGTCAAATCTGCTATCTGAAATGGATTTAGTTATAAAACAGTTCTGTATTTGGGAAACAGGAAAGGCAAACATGTAAGTGTCCACTATAATCAACTGCAAATGACAGTGTGGAATCAGGGAAATGGATGATTAAGAGGAAAGGTATATAGAATAAACATGCTAATTCAAGGGATATGATCTAGGGCTAGTCTTTTGAAAACTAGAACACACTAGAAGTGCTATTTTTGGCAACATTCTCTCTGATCTGCTAATCTGAGACTAGTTTACATTATATCCATAATTGTGCTTGTGGGTCTTAGATTTGTAGTAATTTCAATAGAATCAAGTTGTGCTGGGATTGGTTTTATGAATCTAATTTAAGTCACAAGAATCCACAAATAGCTTGAAGATCTGGTTTCTGTAATTCAAAAGGGACCTTAGGACATTTCTGCTTTTTTTCTGATGTGTTTATGGAGGCAATACATCCTTACACTGCCTACGAAGTCCATTATTCATCTTCTCTCCTTTCATGTAAGCAATTTGAAAATTTCTACGTATCCCAGATTTCACTATGAACAATGAGTAGAAGAGGAAATTAAAATGTGTTTCTATGGTTTATCCTCACAACTGACAGAAAGCCTTATGGACAATGACGACTTTTTAAACAATTAGATCCAAGTTTAAAATAGTAATAACAATTTCCGCGTCTGTATGTCTTCCCAGATATTTGCTATGCGTATATGAAACATATTTCTTTTTATTTTTACATGTTAAAATCATACTATACATCTAGATGGATGGATAGATGGATGGATGGAAGGAAGGAAGGAAGGAAGAAATCACAATTAATGCCATTCTCCAACTAAACATGAGCTACCCATACTTACAGACTAGTTCTAAGATTCGAGGTAAGCTGAAAGCTTTAGACATTACTTGAATTGCTTGCAATGGGAGAGTAGAGGCTACCATTCCAAAAAAAGAAAAGGCAGAAACTTGAATATGGTATTTGATCACTTACAACAAAAGGTTTGCAACTCGAAGTCTACCATAGAACCATGTGCCTTGGTTTTTGGCTTAGAAAGTTTGTAGTCTTAGGACACTTGATGAAAATAAAACAGCTAATGATAATAAATTTTATGACAGTGGTTCTTATTGTTTTATTGGTTCACAAATCCTTTTAAATATGAAGGATGGTATGAACATTTTTGCCAGAAAAATGTAAACGTACAAAATTTAGTATATAATTTCGAGGAACTCCTTAAAACCCTGATCACAAAATGGGGGACTTTTGAGAGTAAAAGGGGTGCTAAAAAATCACATCGGATGTAAAGTGGTACTGTCCCGAGCGAACTAGATGTATGCTACCTTACCTTTAGCTCACAGGGGAAACTATGGTTCTAGATTCATATCCCTGAAGATCATTAGCCAGATATTTAAACTTATCTCATCTTTTTATAATAACAGGCACATCATCATCAAAGAAGAAGAGTGTAATTTTTAACTGGCACTGACATGCATAAATAAGAACTGGTAAGAGTTGCACTATAAATCTAAAAACATTTACCTTTACTGCAAACTCCATGTTTGTGGCTTTATGTATACATCTCTTGCAAACAGAGTAGGAGCCAACTCCAATATCTTCTTTTACTTCATATCCATCAGTAAACTGAATACTGTTCCTGTGCAACTGCTACAAACATAATTATAAACTGATGAAGAGTTCCATAACAACTCTGGTACATTACTTACCATGTACTGTTAATATTAAGTATAAATAAATATCAGGAAAATGAAAATGAATCTTTATAGCATTTATTCTTCTACAACTGCATATTTCAGAAATGTCTATGATAAAATGCACAGCGTGAAATATGCCCTTTAAAAAAGCTTATGTTAAAAAGAAAAAAAAATTAAATATGTACAAGTGAAAACACAGAGCTACTTGATAAGGGACCAACAGTCTTGGCTGTGACTAAGTCACATTCCACTCCCCAACAGGCTATAGGTCTTTGAAGTATGCTTGCAAATGAGAAGTCTGAAACCTCTGGTATAGAAGAAAATATTTAGGAAGATTCGGAGTTAGAACATCTGGATTCTTGTCGCAGATGTACCACTTGTAGGTTGTGTAACATTGAACTTGTGTTTTCTCAGAGGATAACGGTGAAGGTTAAATAAAATAACATATTTGAAGGTAATACCTATTATCATCATTTGGAACTATCAGTAGCCATGCCTTCCTTTCTTCACCCTCAAGTCAATACAACTTCTGCTAGAGAAGCCATTAAATGGGTTAAGGACTAATAACATGTGATAGGATGATGAAGAGCAATTTATTGGTTCCATAAACAGGCTGAGGGAAGTTGCGCTGTCTTTGGCTATACCGATAGGAACTCCCCTATCTCATGCCTATGAGCTCCATATAGGTTAAAACTTGAAGTCTGTAGAATATGTTTGGATATTAGGTATAGAAGCTATAACTTTAAAACTTGCCATACCTTACAGGCTTGTCATAGTAAAGGGACAGACTATTTCAACATGAATTTTGTTCAAAAACCAGTGCTTAAATTCGTTTTCTAGAAAGTGGAGAAACCAAGATGATGGACTCATGAAAAAAACCTTTAGAGTAAAAGCAACTTAATCATCAAATTTGAACACTAATAATACCTTAAAAAAATTCAATGCTTTAAAAGATATATCTAGTTCCTTCTATGATTAGAAAGATGAACTAAATATATCTTTCCATGATACTAGGATAAGAAATAAATCTAATGGTTTGTACTACTTGTGTTCCTCTAGTAACATTTACTAGTCCAGCCTCCTGTTACACACACATTCACACATCTAGACATCTGCTTCTGTGGCTTTTAGCTCCTTTTTCTCCAACTCTGATAAACAGATGGGATAATGAGGTAGGAGGCACCCTATGGCAGTACCCATAACCATTTCCTCCCAATGACAATGGGGGCTCCAAAAGAACAAGGATTTAAAACTTGGAAAACTTAAAGCTTAAGTTCATTTTTATTTCTTGTATGTTTCTATGGCAGAGGTTGGCAAATTACAGCCTGGGCGCCAAATGTGGTTCACTACCAGTTTTTTCTAAATAAAGTTTTATTGGCACATAGCCATGCTCGTTTGTTTTTGTATTGTCTATGGTTGCTTTCGTGCTACAATGGTAGAGTTGAGGAGTTGCAACAGAGATCATACAGCGTACAAAGCCTCAGATATTTATTATCTGGCCCTTTATGGAAAAAGTCTGCTGAGCCCTATTCTAAGGCATCAGGGAACCAGGAGATCTCAGTTCGTCACAGCTGACCTGACAGAGGCAGAGGATGAAACAAACAAAACTGATAAACATTTTGAGACACAGAAGAGGGGAGAGACAAGATGGTGATATTTATCGCAGCTCAGATAGGTAATCAGGATTCTGGTGCTTGCAACCTTTTCAAAGGCATAGGAAAGAAATTTCTAAGAGTAACATTAATGATATAAAATGTATTTTAAGTTTCTCACTTAAGTCAGCAGATCAAATCTAACTTAATTATTCACACAATGAACTATATCTTACAACATTTCAAATTTCAAATCACTTAGACATTCACTCACCTGAACAATTGAATGCACACCAACTGTCTGCATAGCTTGGCTTTCATCATCTGAGGTAATAGCAACAAAACTAAACCCCCGAAAAAGCTGATGTGCATTAGCACTAGGTGGAATGCCAGGTGAATCTGAAAAGAATCATAAATTACTAAGAAGGTAATTACTTTGAAATGTAATTAAGGGAAGAATTGTTGACATTATGACCTCTTCTCACTTATTCTGGAACTCTACTTCTCAGGCACCTGGTGCTTTAAATATAACTCACTGAGGCACTGTATCAGATCTGTCCTGATGGCCTATTGCCATCACAACTCTAATATCCTAGTCCCTTAGAGCCCAGAAAATAGCTAATCCATTGGAGAATATAACAAATCGATGAATTACTGGGTTAATGTTATTCTAAATTAGCACTGTCCCATAGAATTTTCTGCTGTGATGAAAACGTTCTTTATCTGTGCTGTCCAATATGGTAGCCACTAGCTACATGCAGCTACTGCACATCTGAAATGTGGCCAGTGTTACTGAGAACATTTTAAATTTTAATGAATTTAAATGTAATTAATTAATTTAATTGGTATTATATTAGATGGTACAGCCCTAAATGGTAGGAGGAGATACAAGGTTGATCTACAGACAATTTAGGAGCAAGGAATTTAGTTCACTGGTTTCAGTACATAATATCAGAATCTAGTAATCTAAACTACAAGTTAAAAATTATTTTACATATATATTTAAGGATCAAAAGTAATTTCTAGAATAATCATGGTATGTAGTCCTTAAAATATATTTTACTACATGACATGTATTGTTATTCTAATTATTTATGTGGAATCTATTGGTATTAACATAAATAGAAATACACTTATACAACAGTTAATGTCCACTATAAAGACAATAAATGTGTCATTCGTAAATATAAATAAATAATTAGGCATACTAACATTTATAAACACACAATAAAGGCTAAGGGCAAGCAAAAAGCAAACAGGCAAGTCTATTTAAACATCAACTCTGTATAAAGTTCTTTGTGAACATCAATTTGATAATTTCAGTAATACATATTGTTTAGTGAATTTTAAATCAGCAAGACAGTATGTATATACTGAAGACTTTTGCTAAGAGAACCTATCCGGAATACGATATAGAACTGCTATATTCTGAGATTTTTCCTTTATTAGTACAAATTATATCGAGAAAGCAAAGTAAAACATCACCATAAAGCATCAATTATATGCATATCACTGTCCATGTATTCGATAAAATTTTGTTCATATATTAATCCAAATTTCTAAGACTGTCTTATAAAAATAACAAACACTCATCAATGCTTAATGCAGATTGTGAGAATTTTGGCTGAAAAGCTTTATAGCAATGTTGAATGATGTATTCTATGGAAAATATATGTAAGTACACTTGCTAGTTATTTGCTGGTCGATGATAAACCTGGGGTTTGGTACACCTAAATGAGAGAGCATTAGAGTGCAAAACACACCATTATGTATATACATATGCTAACTAGTGAAATACAGGTTATCATTTCAAAGATTACTTCTCTATAATAATCGCTGTTTATGCAATTTTAGGATAAAGTATGATACAGGATATGATTCATTTTGAAGTTATTACATCTCATATAAAGTTGAAGTTATGTTTGGGATTTGAACTTTACAAGTACCTCCAGAATAGCACCTAATATTAGAGTTTTAAAGAAAACTATTTATACTGAAGAGTATTTCATGTAAAAATAGCTACAGATAAATAAATGCACGAGCAAATAAGTTTTCCCACATAAATAATATTAAAGTTTAAGGCACAAAATAATTTCCTAAAAGATGTAACAAGAATCTTAACTGCTATAAAATGTTGTAAAGGATTTACTAATTATCTAGGTATTGTGGCAGGGATAGGGTATGAAGAAGAGATACAAGGATAGCATAAAGAGTTGTACTAGAAAAGATTTTCTGATTGAACAAGAAAAAAAAATATATAATGACTTATATTTGGGTTTTTATATTTTCTCCTTACCTTTGGGAGTTTTTGCAGTAAACTCAGGATCAAAATAAAATGTATCTTCGGGCCTGCCAGTTGCAGGTTTAAAAGGTGGATGAATTTCTCTTCTGTACAGTTTCTAGAAGAAAAAAGAGTGTCTTAGACAAATGTTAATTATTTAAAAAAATTCAAGCAAGTTTTTATCTTTTACTTACATTCCAGTCTATAGTTGAGAAAAATAAGTGTCTTTTAATTTCTTCAACTCCATCTGGTCCTGCGCCTATCCAAAATTAATTAGTTTTGATTAAATAATAGTTTTATTTCAGGGAAGAATATATAGTTTATTTAGTCTTTGCTTTTAATATTTGTCCTAATATTTCATAATCCTACAACAAAACAAACATCCACCTCTCTCCAAAAAAACAAATACCAAGAAACATGCAAAAGAAACAAGATAAAAATTTTACCTAATCTGTTTGCAGGATTTCGTTTGAAAAGCATTCGTAAAAGGCTCTGGGCTTCAGGACTCAAAAACTGTGGCATCCCAAGTTTGGCTCTAAATAATAAATCCACATAATACCATTTTATTTTTTGGAGGTATCTGTATTTTAAAGTTTTTTTAAAATTAAAATTTTTAAGATAATTGTGGATTCACACTCAGTTGTAAGAAATAATAGAGAGACCCTGCGTGCTTTCACCCAGTTTTCCCCATGGGTAACATCTCACAAAACTATACAGTATACGCTATCACAACCAGGATATTGACATTGATACAATCCACTGATGTCATTCAGATGTCTCCAGTTTTAACTGCAGCATTTGTGTATGTGTTGTTTTTTGCCATTTTTATCACAAGTGTAGGTTCCTGTATCCAACACCACAGTAAAGATGCTGAACATTTCATCACCACCAGGATCCTGCACGTTGCCCCTTTGTAACCACACCCATTTTTCTCCCTCCCCAATTCCTAACCTCTGGCAATCACTATTCTAGCCTCCATTTCTATAACTCTGTTGTTTTAAGAATGTTTTGTAAATGGAATCATATAGTAGGTAATCTTTTTCCACTCAGCATGAATTTCCTTGAGATTCATCTAAGTTGTTGTGTGTATCAGCAGTTAATTCCTTTTTATTGCTAAGCGGTATTATTCCATGGCATGGGATGGATATACTGCAGTTTGTTTATCCATTTAACTGTTAAAGGGCAACTGGATTGTGTCCAGTTTGGGGCTGTTACAAATAAAGCTGCTAAGAACATTTGTGTATAGGTTTTGGTGTGAGCACATCATAGAATTTTAGTCTATAATCTAATTTCATTTTAGTCCATAATCTTCATTTTTTCAGAATTTTGCAAAAAGTACTACTGTGAGAGTAAGATCATCTGAATCTTAGTTCTGGCTCTTTTATTAAGAACTCTGTGACCCTAGGAAAGCCAATCCCGTTGGGCCTGTCACTTTTTCATAAGCAAGGAGATTGGATGTTAGATCAATAGTTCTCAAACTGTAGCCTTGGAACCATTTTTCAAGAGGAATTTAAGAAGTCCAACATTTAAAACTGCGAAAAGAGCATGTTTCATATGTTTATTTTTCCCTCTCATTCCCCTTAATAGCCCTGCAGAAAAGAAGAGCTGGTGGTAAATGGGTCTGTGGAATATCCAAGAGTCTGTGGCACACCGTCTGAAAACCACTGGCCTGGGTGAGCTTGAAGGTCTGTTTCGGCTCTAATATATAATTTTATTCTTTTTCCCAACATACAAATCCAGGAAACCAATGATCTTGTAAGTATGAAAACAATAACAGAGCTGGGGAAAATGGCTAGAAATTTGTATTTCAGAAATAGATGAATTTATTATTCAGTTTGTTGTTATTGAGCTACTATGTGCTAGACACTGCTTAGTGCTGAGGATACAGAGATAAAGATAGCTCCCGATGGTCAGTGGGGAAGACGGATGTAGAT